TGCGAGCTGCACGGCAGCTTTGCCTGGCTCCCTCACTCAGCAGGACACGCCTGACCTCTGCTCCTGTCCCTCTGCTTGCAAAGTCATCCAGAAGTGTCTGATTTTGGAGGGGCCTAAGACCAAAACAGCTGCAGCTTCACATCTGACAGCCCTGGCAGGGATGGTGATGCCCTGCACTGGGTCCCTCCATTGCTGAGATCATTTATTACAGCAGCAGCCAGGTGATGAACTGGCTTATGGGAGACATGGCACGGTGTTTTAAGTACATCTCTTCTGGCTGTGCCATGCATCTCCAAGGCATGAAGGGAAAGCACTGATGCTTGCAGCCCTCCAAAAAGCCACGCTGAGGTTTTAGTAGCACCATGACAAAGCACAGCCTGAAGGAAAGGGCTCAGCCTTGACAATAGCATCTAACTCAGAGCATCTGGCCCAGAGTATTTCTGAATTTATTCTTTATCTGTGGTTGGCAGTGCCTGGGAACTCAATGCAGAGAAAAAAATTGGCCTTGGCTGCAAAGCAGGAGACAAATATCAGCTGCTCTGGGAGAACCCAGCGCATGCAACCTGCAGGACAAAAGCCTCTCCCAGGCCACAGCCTGGGGTCTGCCGAGTGCAATAGTTTAAAAGAAAAAAAAAAAAAAAAAAAAAAAAGCTAAGGTAGGTTTGAGGGAGGCAGGAAGGTGACCTTTGAACCTTAGACATCAAATATACAAATTGCTTCCAAGCTAAAAACACCAGAAAACAGCTTTTGCAAAAAGGAAAATACTAGGGGTTTTTAAATGTGTATATAAATGTGATACTTTTCAGGCAGCACTCGAATCAGAGCCACACTATTTTCTGCTGGTTGTGCTGTCAACTCCCAGTGCTTCTGCGGAAAGCAGCCTGTGCAAAAAACAGCAAAGAAAGTCTGGAGATGGAGGTCAGGACAAAACTGAAACAGAGGCCCACAGATTTTATACCACCCAGCAGCAGAATTCAAAAGCCCCTTTTCAAGGCAGCACTAGAAAATGAGCCACAAACATTAAACACGTCCAACCAAAGACAATAAACACAAAGAGGGGCCTTTACAAACCAACGCGGGTGCTTCCCATCCCCAAGCGAGGCTGTGCCGCCAGGATGAGCGCTTCCCTGTCTCACCCTGAGCCTCTCCCCGGGCAGCGCCATTAAAAATAGCTCCAGTGAATTCTTTGCAACGAAGAGCAGCAGCCCTGTGCCGAGCTGAGGTATGTGGGCAATGCCTGCAGTCCCATCCCAGCCTCGCTGCCACTTCTTCCCAGCAGCACTGGCTGGGTCCAGAGCTGCCCCAGGCATGAAGGCTTCCCACCCCGGCTAGACAAGTGGGAATGGGAGGGTTAAATCCATCTGCTGTTTTATTTGCTCTTCTGGCACAGCTCTAATGCTCTAATTGTTTTTGTACTAGTGCAGGACAGAGCACCACTCCTGTCCTTCTTGGCCATCTCCCAGAAACACTGCCTGAATCATTCCCCCGACTGCTACTAAAATTCCCTGCGGATACACGAGCCACAGCTGAGCACCGCGCTAACAGGTGAGACCCAAAGCCAAGCCAGCATGCCTGTCTCTTTGGACAGTTTATGTGGTTTTGCACATCCACATTGGATTAGACTGTAAATGAGATTGGAATTAACAGAGAATACTGCAAATACCAGGCGAGGCTGGGGTGCCTGCAGGTGCAGCAATGACCTTGTGGCTAGAAATAGGGGAAGAGCTCAGCTCTCTGCCCAAGCTATTGAACATTTGCTTGTTAGGGGAAAGACAGACCTTTCCAACACCGTCCTTCCTTCTCTGGGGGCTCCCTCCTCCCATTAATTCAACAAACCCTGAACAATGACCAACTGGACACCTTTGTCTTGCCATTCTTGATATTATGAGCTGCCAAAAAGGCTATTAAGCAAATGTAATTCAGCAGTCAGCTCTAGGAAGGAAGACTTCAGCTAAACTTCCCTGGAAACTGGCTTTTCCACCCCTAGCCAAATCTCTGCTCCAGAGTCCAG